GTAGCATTTTCGCCCCTGGCGTGCCAGACCTGATGCGCGAGTTCGGCAGCAGCAGTCCATTGCTGGCGTCTTTCGTCGTTTCCGGTATGTCGCTCGTTGTCTCGCGTTTCACAGCTTGCTGTACTGACAGCTGCCAGTCTACGTTCTCGGTTTTGCCGCGGGTCCCTTGCTGTGTGCGCCGCTGAGTGAAATCTATGGCCGCACTATAGTCTATCACGTTTTTAATGTAGGATTCTTCTGCTTCAACATTGGCTGCGCCTTAGCCCCCATCGCTGAGCTCGCTTATTGTCTTCCGCTTCTTCGCCGGCCTCTTCGGCGCTGCTCCGATGACCAACGGCGGCGGTACTATCGCCGACATGATCCGTCAGGAGAAGCGCGGCGCTGCCATGGCTTCATTTGCCATTGGGCCTCTCCTCGGGCCGATCCTCGGCCCTGTCGCCGGCGGATATATGTCCCAGGACATCGGCTGGCGCTGGGCCTTTTGGCTCGTGGCGATTCTCAGTGGCGTCATCAGCATTGTCATGGTGTTGTTTCTCCGAGAAACATATGCCATCATACTCCTCCAGCGCAAGGTCGATAAAATGCGTAAGGAAACGGGCAACCAGACATTGCGGTCCAAGCTCGATAGTGGACTGTCGCCCACCGACTACTTCAAACGAGGCATCTACCGGCCTCTGAAGCTGCTGACCATCTCGCCCATCTCCATCGTCTGGTACGTTTCACACACAGCCTTCCTATCATGCAACCGCTGACGGTCCAGTGCTCTGTATACCGCCATTGGTTACGGCTATCTATACATCCTCTTCACCTCCTTCACCACAGTCTTCATGAAGTACTATGGCTTCACTGCCGGAACCTCAGGCCTCTCTTTCCTCGGCATGGGCGTTGGCTCCATGTTCGGTCTTGTCTTCTTCTCCGTCTACTCCGACCGCTATCTCAAATCCAGGGCGGCCCGCGCCGATGCCGCCGCCGATGCCGCCAACCGTCCCCGTGAGGGCATGAAGCCGGAGTATCGACTCGTCACCCTCCCCTGGGGCGCCATTTTCCTGACCATCGGCCTCTTTTGGTACGGCTGGTCCGCCGACGAGGGCCGCACGCACTGGATCGTGCCCATCCTCGGCACCGCCGTCGCCGGCTTCGGCAACCTCCTCATCTTCATGTCGCTGCAGCTCTACCTCGTCGACGCCTTCTCCGTGTACGCCGCCAGCGCGCTCGCGGCCAACACGGTGGCTAGGTCGCTGGCCGGTGCGTTTCTGCCGCTGGCAGGACTGCCGATGTACGAGGCGCTCGGGATCGGGTGGGGGAACACCGTCTTGGGCATCATCTCGGCGGTCATGATCCCGGTGGCATATGCCATTATCAGGTATGGGCAGCACTTGAGGCAGCGATTCGAGGTGAAGAATCTGTGAGGGAAAGCTTGAGCAGGAGAGACTGACTCATGGGCATGTACGTATAAATGGTGCAATAGAACGTCTACATGTTGGCACGATGATGAGCGGCAGGTGCCGTTGATGTTGAGCCGAAGGTTCGCACCTGCACATTTCTTTCTGCAATCAAGCAGTGGTTCTCTCCCCCGTCGATGGTATCCTTCGGTCCGACCTTACCTGCCTTCCAGCTTGTCGTCCAGATGGCTTCTTGCAGTTTGGTGAATGTCCGGTCATGGGTCTGTACCTGGTCACCGCTCTCGGGGGCAGGCGTATCTTGTCTGCAGATGCAATGAAAGCTAAAGATGGCCAGGTACCTCCTCTTGATCTGGGAAGGATAGAAGCTGGCTGCTTCTGCTATTCAGTCAGGAACATCCAGCGAGTGCTGGCTCTGTAAATGTACCATATTTCTTCTGTCAGGGAGCCGTCTCTTGTCTCTTCTTCTCTTCTCTTCTCTTCTCTTCAACGCGAGTTCATCAATATGGAGTAAGTACCATTCCATCCATTCCAGCTTCATCTGAAAACGAATACTAATCAGAAACATCCATCTAGATCGTTTAACTTTATCACCATCTCGCTCGACCCTGGCTTTCTTGCCGCGCCGGCTGGCCCCCGAGCAGAGCCGCCCCCCCTCCTCCCCTCCTCCTCCGACGCCCATCGGCCCCCGCGGGCCTCTGAAGCCCAGGCCCAAAGGTAAACTCTTCCCCGACTCCCAACTTCCTCCGTACAGTCGGCTTCATCCGAACAGTCAGCTTCATCCGAAATTGGTATCAATAGCTGACATGATTTTCTGTTCAGTGGTTCTGGGCGCAACGACCTTGAAAATGGCAGGGGCCCGCCCGACAATGGGCGTCGGACGACAGAGAGCAAGGACTCGGGGGGGCCGGTGACCCTCGGGGTACACTTCGGCTGCTAGGGGCAGTTCGTTGTGGTCGCCGCCGGTTTGGTCATGGTGTTGTGGGCTGCGGCTCGGATTGTTCAGGCCAAGCATTCTTAAGCGTGTTTTTATCTTTAAAAGCGTTTCATCATTATCCACAATTACAGTCGTTTTGTTTTGCTTTCACATTTTATCGTTCATCCGAACATGAAGTAAAGCAGTTTCATCAGCCACTTCCCAGGAGAAGAATCCGTGATGTCCAAGGAAGACCACGAGACGACCAAACTAAAGGCACATTCGTCGTGGCACTTTGCAAACAAAAGGTGCTCCCTCGTGATATATCGAAGCATCATGCGCAAGTGCGGCATAGAGGTGGTTATAACACTGCCGCTGCTTCTATTGTCATCCCGAGCTAATTTGGCCTAATTTCCTCCTTTATTGACGCTGATACTTCTGGCTTAGGCCATGGCCACCAGCCTGCCAGCGGCAGGTCATCGTAGATACAGTTGTAGCGTGCCTCGGGTTCATCCCAGCGATAGCTGTAGACGTAGCGTGATCGTGAGTCCCAAGCCTGGGCTGACCAGATGTTCTCAGGTTGGACGTCCGGCAATCTGAATGGTGCAATATCGGCGAGTTCCTTTCCCCCAGATCCCGAGACTGCCCTCCCACGAAAAGCTCATTTTCCTTGCCGGTCTTCACCAATGCCTCGAGACGATAGATTGAACATTATGAACGCAAAACTAAATGCGTGCCAGGAATGC